AAGCATCGATTGAGCACTGTAGTCAGTCGTCAACAGAAGTTAATACAAACAACTGTAAATAAGGCAACACATTATTGTCAGACTATTTTAGAGTACATACCTCCCTATCAAACTCAACATCAAGAACATCAGTGTAAGACAAAGACTCGTTCGTACGGAGCTTCACACCCTTCCACTCAAGTAAAGTAGGGTGCTCATTGTCAAAAGGCAATCTTGCAGGTAGTCTTGGCACAGCATCAAAAGCTAGAAGTTGGAGGATTAGTGGACACCCTTGCATTCTAAATGTCGCCTGTCGCAAAAGCTGGCGAAAGTCTCCAACTGGATCTTCGCATTTGCCTTTAACCCTCCTCGCTGGTATCATACAAGAAATTGTTTTCAGAAATGCCTCACGTCCACATGGAAACGCAAAAAAACTATCCAAATCCTCCAACATCTTCATGTATTTCAAGGTTGGCTTATGCACCTGTGTGTTTGCTATCAGAACACCGTCGACAATTAACAAAAGGGCTAGCTTAAGACGTCTCTCTGATGACATTTTTTTATCGTTAACAATCATCTCGCCTATATCTCCCAACGTGGTTTTCTTGTCATTTCCAATAAGTTCCTTCCAGAAAGGATCAACCCTTTTGACATTTGTTGGTTGATCGTCAGGATCGTAGTCATCTGGGAACTCTCCACACGGCATTCCACTGACGTGCCCAAACTCCTTTAACCCAAATCTTAAGGGGTGTCCACCAAAAACTGTCCACATCTCATACTTCTTCTTGGTGACCAACTGTCTGGACATCAACACGTGGATCAGTTTACACGATATTTGACATCGAGCAGCGGGGAAAGTGAATAACTTCCCAAAACAGGAGTTGATGATGATGTCTAACTCTTTAGTGCCTCTTAACTTCTCACTAAGAAAGGTAAGCGTGTCGGGCTTCGAATACACATTTATCCGGTTGATTGGGTACCAATCTGTAGCAAATAAACGAGAGGGCAATCACGAATCGGCATCATCCAAAATGTCTCCGTCTGATCAACACCCAAATTGGAACATAAGATTCACTTCAAACGTAATTACAAATATCTGTACAAATCATTCATTTTTTCACACACGACCAAATTATCCAAGTCATACATGGGAAATTTTACCTGACATCACCTCGACGAATCAAACTATCTCGCTCAGAAGCCCAGAAACAGTCGTCTATCTCTCTCCGGCGGCCGCTTAGGGTTCTTCTTCGTCTGTTTTTTTTACTCTCGGTTGTGTGGTAAACAAGTTAACGAAAAGTTACTAGAGGGTATAATTGTCATTACATCATACAAAAGTCACTCAATAGTTACAAGTGCCTTTTATGTAACTTAAACTCAGGAAAGTGCCTTTCCCTGTAAATCACTCTATTTTGCCTTATATATCTTCAGAATTCAAAAAATAAAAATAAAAATAAAATCAAATAAAGCCACACGTTGAGATTCAAACTAAAGAGGGAAATACGAAGAACGAACCCAATTTTAAGGTCAAAACTCAAAAGTACACAAAACACACCATAAGTCAACAAGATCCAGAGTTGTTAATACAAGCATAAAAAAACCTGCAACTGGTAGTTGAGGTTTCTTTGTTTTAAAAAAGAAAAAAAAAAAAGCAAAAGACTAAATTGGTTTTTTTAAGGTGGTGTACACTTACTCTCTCTCAATACTCCTCCTGTTGGTATTCTCCTTCTTCCTCATCCTCGTACTCACCTTCTTCATCTGCGGTTGCGTCTTGGTATTGCTGGTACTCCGAAACAAGATTGTTCATGTTGCTCTCGGCCTCTGTGAATTCCATCTCGTCCATACCTTCACCTGTGTACGGTGTACCAATGCAAGAAAGCCTTCCTCCTGAACATAGCTGTGAACTGCTCGCTAACACGTCTAAACTGTAGGACCTCGAAAATCCGATTGAAATCACGAATAAAAAATAACAATAATATAAACGATATGTTAAGGTAAGAGATTAAAACAAGAGTTAGAAAACCGATTGAAAACAGACAAAAACACGGAGTCGAGATATGATCTCTTTCCTTAACTCAATAAATCGCCCGTAATGTGTGACGGTTTGTTGCGATTTTTGAATCCCAGGATACAACCGTGATGAGACTATTACACAACACCCGTAATAGAATCTGCGAACTGAAATTATACTATGCTATAGCTCTCGAAACATTTACGATATTAAGACGAGAGGGATTTGCTGGAAAGAATTATTTGTTGTGTGTTTGGGACATTCGAGAGTTCGATTTTTTAGAATGAGAGAAGAGGGCGTCTATTTATACTCGAAGGTTCAGCTTGATCCGCAAAGAATAATCTTTGGCGAAAAAGGAATATTCACAAAATATTCTCCTTTTTCCGCAAGTAAAAGGATTCGGAAATCTTCCGTTATTATCTGGACGCAATCTTTTATTTCCTAAGATTTATCCTTTCAATATGCAAAAAATATTTCGCAGGAACTAAGAAGCCCACGACCCACACCCAGCTATATAGAGCCCAAGAGCCCAAGAGCTTTAAGAGCCAACTAAAAAATGCAACAAGCAACGAGCACGAGCCCTAAGAGCCAACTAAAAAATGCAACAAGCAACAAGCAAGAGCCCTAAGAGCCAACTAAAAAATGCAACGAGCAACGAGCAACGAGCACGAGCCCGAGCCCGGTACCGGTACCGGTACCGGTACCGGCACCGGCACCAGCACCGGCGACGGCGACGGCGGCGGCCCGCGTAGGTGTTTTGCATAATGTCCTTTTACTTCCACAATGCTGTTGACCCGTATTGTGAGAAGGCCATATATATACTAGAGATTTTTCTCCTTAGTGAGCAATGTGGGACAAATACACTTCCACTAAACTTCCACTTTTAGTTATAGCCAATAGGAACATTTCATTTCCATAGGCTCAAACCCAAATCTCAAATGAATTTATAAGGCTCATTTGCTTATTAAACTTCATTTTTTATTCACACACAAACTCAATATTACAAGTCCAAATGCTTATTAATATTGGGTTCCAACAATCCCCCACATGAATAGAAATGACTCTATACATATGCAGACTCGATAGACTATGCAGACTAGACTCAAACTAGACTACAGACTCGACAGACGGACTTTTCGAGAGTATAAGCGAAAACTAACTGTGTCTGAGGAAGTAGCGTTTTTCAGCTTTGAACCACTCATTGTTAATATCTGTCGGATTTACTCTCCAGGAAGTGAACATGATGTCTTGAACCGCCCGGATTTTGTTGTAAACCAAATCAACAGATACAACCCAGCTTCGTCTTCTCGTAGCATTCAGTTCTCTATTGTGTTCATTGTGGCCTTGAACGTGTCTGGTTTATCATGAGTGAACTTGGAGAGTATAGCCTTGTCTTCGTTCTCCTAGAAACGGCCTCATTTCACACTCACTAGGTGATTGCCAAGTACCTGTCACATACACAGAAAGTATCCTGTTATACTATATATACATGTATATGAAGGCTATGGTCTTATCTCATTAAAAGGTATAAAGCTTAACCTTACATAATTACAGGAAGCACTGTTTATCATCATGGAAATTGAGCATTTTACAATGTTTTTCTCAGATTCTGCTTGATTTAGTTGTCCCTTTGAACCAACCTCTTGGGATCTCCAATCGCGTAGGTAGGATTTCCATCAAACATCCTCTTTCGTGATAGGCAATAAGCCCATTCCCTTAGATGATTTAATGATTTGATCTCGCGGCAAGCTTTTGGTGAACGGATCCGCTAAATTTCCGCTGACTTGATGTAATCAACCGTGAGTACACCACTTGAGATCAGATGCCTAATGGTCTTATGTCGTCTTCGTATGTGACGAGACTTGCCATTATACAGATTATTCAGTGCCCGAGAGATAGCTGATTGACTATCACAGTGTACACGTAATGCTGGCACTGGTTTTTCCCACATCGGGATATCTTCCAGGAAGTTCCGAAGCCACTCTACTTCTTCTGCTGCTTTGTCTAAAGCTATGAACTCTGACTCCATGGTTGATCGGGCCAGGAGTGTTTGTTTGGAAGATTTCCAGGATACTGCTGCTCAAGCGAGTGTAAAGACATATCCACTTGTGGATTTGGAATTTCTAGAATCTGAAATCCAATTGGCATCACTGTACCCTTCTAACACTGCTGGTTCTTTACCAAAGTGCAGCCCATAACTCTTAGTGTATCGCAAATATTTCAACACTCTAGTTATTGCTTTCCAATGAGTATGACCTGGATTACTTGTGTATCGACTTAACACGTTTACCGCATGTGCTAGATCGGGTCTTGTACAATTGGTCAAGTACATCAGACTTCCAATTACCCGTGCATACTCCACCTGTGATAATGGTTCACCTGTGTTCTTGGTTAGGTGAGCTTGCACATCCATTGGAGTTTTTGTGGTTCCATTTGAGTAGGTCTTAAACCTCTCTAGGAACTTTTCAGCATAGTGATCTTGAGACAGAGTAATTCCATTGGATGTCCGAATGATCTTAGTCCCAAGAATGCCATCTGCAAGTCTCATGTCTTTCATGTCAAATTTTCCATTGAGCATGTTCTTGGTTTGTTGAATGATATCTTTGTTACTGCCAATAATCAACATGTCATCTACATACAGACATAGTAAGATGTATCCGTTTGGAGTACATTTGTAGTAGATGCATTTATCACATTCGTTAATGCTGAAACCATTTGACATCATCACATTGTCAAACTTTTCGTGCCATTGTTTTGGAGCTTGTTTCAGTCCATACAATGATTTCACGAGTCTACACACTTTGTGCTCTTGACCCTTAACCTCGAAACCTTCGGGTTGTTTCATGTATATTTCTTCTCCTAAATCACCATTTAGAAAGGCATTTTTAACATCCATCTGATGGATTTCCAAACCTCGCAAGGCTGCTACGCCAATCAATATTCTGATCGAAGTTATTCTCGTAACTGGAGAATAGGTGTCAAAGAAATCTAGACCTTCTTTTTGTCTGAATCCTTGCACCACAAGGCGTGCCTTGTACTTATCTATAGAACCATCAGCTTTCAGCTTGGTCTTGAAGATCCATTTACACCCTAGTGCTTTGAACCCTTGAGGTAAGTCAGTTATCTCATAGGTATGATTCTGCATTATAGAACTCATCTCACTATTGACAGCATCCTTCCAATAAGGAGCTTCTGGTGTAGACATGGCTTCTGTGTAAGATCTCGGTTCATTCTCGACAAGAAAGACCATCATGAAATCTTCACCAAAAGATTTTTCCTAACGAGCTCGTTTGCTTCGTCTAGGTTCATCTTCAACCTGTTCTACTTCCATCTCATTTACAGAAGTAGTCACATCTCTTTCTTCACGAGTGCGTTTAGTAGTTTGCTTATCCCTATATGGAAATATGTGTTCAAAGAAAGAAGCATTCATTGATTCCATGATAGTATTCACTTGGACATCTGATACATCTGACTTATGTACCAGAAATCGATAAGCACTACTATTGTGAGCATATCCGATAAAGATACAGTCCACAGTCTTAGGTCCAATTGTGACCTTCTTTGGAAGTGGCACTGCGACTTTTGCTAAGCACCCCCACACTTTCAGGTATTTGTACGAAGGTACATTACCTTTCCAAAGTTCATACGGTGTTTTGCCAGTTACCTTATGAGGTATTTTGTTGAGGATATAATTTGTGGTGAGCAGTGCTTCCCCCCACAGATTCTGGGGTGTCCCAGATTCCTGCAACCTTGCGTTCATCATCTCCTTCAGAGTTCGGTTCTTTTTTTCCGCAACTCCATTGGATTCAGGTGAATAGGGGGCTGTAGTTTGATGGATAATTCCGTTTATCTGGCAAAACTCATTGAAAGGTCCATCATATTCTCCACCCTTATCACTTCTGACCATTTTGATGGTCTTTGCCAGTTGCTTTTCAACTTCGAGTTTGTACTCTTTAAATTTGTCCAAGACTTCATCTTTACTGCGCAGCAAATACACGTAGCAGTACCTTGTACAATCATCAATGAAAATCACAAAATACTTTTTACCACCTCTTGATGGTAGATATTTTAAATCACACAGATCAGTGTGGATTAATCCAAGAGGTTCAGTAGTTCGTTCAACATGAGGTGATGGTGTTTTTGTGAGCTTTGCTTGGACACAAATTTCACATTTGTCTTTGCTAATTTTGCACTTTGGAATCATGTTCAAATTCATCAGTCTTTGAATAGACTTGTAATTAACATGTCCTAAACGTTCATGCCAAATAATAAAAGACTCAACCACATAAGCAACTGAATTCTTATTAATTAAATCTTTGGAATCAGGTACAACTTTGTTTTTCTTCAGGATTGTCATTACAGACATTTTGATCAATCCTGACTTAACATAAACTTTTCCTATGAAAACACCATTCTTCCTAAGTATCAGCTGGTCAGACTCAAAGTTGATTGCAAAACCATGCTTGCTCATTAGAGTACCAGAGATCAGGTTCTTCCTCATGTCTGGAACATGCTTCACATTGTTGAGAGTAACTTCCATGCCTGAAGTCATCTTCAACACAACTTTTCCAGTACCTTCAATCTTGGATTGGGAGATGTTTCCCATCTTTAGTTGATCATCAGTCTTGCACTTCTGATAGGTACTGAACATCTCTCTGTCAATACAGATGTGTGTGGTAGCACCTGTGTCATACCACCACGCCTTGGGGTTCTCTTCCACCAAGTTAGCCTCTGTAACCATTGCACACAGATCTGCTTCAGTCAAGTGAGCTTGGTTGTTCTCATACTTAGCCTTTCGGCGACACTCTGAAGACTTATGTCCAAGCTTGTTG